GGAGGGCGGGGAGGGGAGGGGGGGTGGGTTTCCTTCGTCTACACCCTCTCTGCCTTGGTTTTCCCTTCTGTGAAGTGCTTTGAAGTCAGTGGGTGGGAAAAGGTGAGCGAAGAAATTACAGTCGTCTTGTCTCGGGTAGAAACTGCACTCAAGAGCAGCACAAGGAATTTGTCCACATTAAAAAATGAGTGCAAATCTGTAGGACGGCATGTGATGTACACATGTTTCTTCTCCAAGTCACCGCTGCAGCTGAGCTTGGCAGAGCCTGAGCCCACACATGCAGTTTCACAGGCTCAGGGTGGAGGACTTTGGCGCAGTTGTCCTGTCTCTCCACATCCAGTTTGGGCATGGGTTTGGGTGCCTTGGTCCTGTCATCAGTCACAGGAGCTGTCCTGTCACCCTACCTCTCCTCCAGCTGCATCCCCAAACCTTCCCTTAGCTCCCAGACCTGACCTTGGATTGTCTCTAACCAGTGTTGTTCATCCTGGGTCCCAGCAGTGAGTAGCTGGTCTCCAAAGCCAGGTGAGGAACCCGCGTTTCCCAAGAAGCTGAATGAGGAGAGGATCTGTAGGCAGGCTAATGCAGACTGTCCCTTCCCATTGCAGCGACCACCCCCTGAGCCAGCTGGTTTCAGACTCGGACTCAGAGATGGACAGCGTGGAGCAGCTGGCCCTGGGCAGCACGGACACCCTCTCCAATGGGCACAAGGCTGACCTGGAGGCCGCCAAACGCCTGGCCAAGAGGCTGTACAACCTGGATGGCTTTAAAAAAGCAGATGTGGCCCGCCACCTGGGGAAGAAGTACGTGTGGGTATTCGCAAGGAACGGTCTGTTCTGCAAAGGGCCCACCTGCACCCGCGGTGCACCCATGGCTGCTGCCCTTGCAGGGCACTGGGCTGGCAGGGAATAGCTGGCAGGACCCCAAAACCCACTCCCCATGACTGGTACATCTGCACCAGGTGTTCCCTCTAAAGATCTTAAAACCTGCCATCACGCATCACGCAAGGTTTTGGTACCTTCCTACCATGACTGCATCTTGGATGTTTCAGGAAGGTGTTGGGGCAGGGGAACGGCTAGCTGGCCTCTCGTGGGCCATTCCAGCTCTAGCTTCTCCAGTTTTGCTTACATGCCCAGTATTCCCATTGGATCTGTGGGTGACTCCTCTGAGTTTCATGGGAGTATGGGGAGTGTCTGTCCTCAGCACACTTCCCACAGCCCTGGGGAGCACCCAGCCTCCTAGAATCCACGCCACCCCTGTGTGCCTTCAGCTGTCCCCATGGTCTGGTCGATCCCACTCTCACCCCTTCCTTTTCTCTTTCAGTTTTTTGGATGGTGGCAGGGGAATATCTGAAGTTCTTTGTGTTCACAGGGATGAGCCTGGACCAGGCGCTCAGGTCAGAATTGAGTGTGTATACATGTGCATGCGTGTATGATGGCCACGTGAGTGGGGTCCCAGGAGACCGTGTCTTCCGCAGCTGCACACCCATGCAGAGTTCTGCAGGAGCAGGCAGACCCCATGGCTCCCACCTGGAGATCCTCTTGCTTTTTTAAATAGGGGAGGGCAATTCCCAAAGTGATCTCTCAGCCACACAACCAAGAAAGAGCATCCCTGGTCTTAACTCAATGGTCAGTGCAGTTGGATGACAGCTAGGTTCGCCTAGGACTGGCTTTCCAGGCCTTGAGCCTGGACCTTCCTAGTGTTACCCCCACCTGCTTTCCAGGTGTAGTTCCTGGGGCTGGCTGTTGTATTGCCTGGGGCTGGCTGTAGGTCTCTGCAATGTGCTGGCAGGGTATGGCCAGCCTGTGGGCTTCGACAGGAGTCCTGCAGCGGGCTGGGAGGGATGCGTGATGGCAGGGCTTCATCCAGCACACAGGGGAGATCTCCAACCCAGAAAGGACAGGTCCACTCCTGTGCAGGGCAGGTTGGAGAAGCTACTGGTGGGCTTCATGTGAGACTAATGCTACTGCTGCTCCTTCAGGTCGTTTCTAAAGGAGCTGGCCTTGATGGGAGAGACGCAAGAGCGAGAGCGAGTGCTGGCTCATTTTTCCCAGCGCTATTACGAGTGTAATCCCAATGCCATCTCTTCAGAGGGTAAGAAACTGTGTGTTTGTCCATGTGTGTTTCAAGCAAACCCATGCATTCGTCAACTCAGTGAAGGTGCTCAAACTGAAACCAGAGAGCAGGCTGACAGCCTGTACTGACGCCTTAGGAGACAGCCCTGGCTACAGAGATGTAATTTCCCTCAAATGTCAGATGCTTTAGATTATTTTTTTTAAAAAAAAAAAACAAACCTGCTCCAGTTGGATCACGCATAATTGAGGCTCAACCCATCCTTATTCTGACCTTGAGCAGATTAGCACAAGGGGCAAGAGAAGGCCCTCTTCACCAAATAGACCCCAGCTCTCAGACCCTCAGCTCAGGGAATAGCCAGGTGAGAAAACTCAGGTGCCTGGCACTTGGGGAGGCACAGGCACCCACTTTGTACTGTTTCACGTCTTT